GCTCCAGGATGATGCTTACATTGACAGTTACATAAGTACCATTGGTGTTGACTTCGTGAGTTTCTTTATCACCACCGTCTGTATATTGTATAATAAGCATATGCATCCATTGTAAAGGATTCAATATGTGGTTTTATATATGATTGATTCTCCATCAAAAGTTGTTTGTAATGTGGTTCAATTGGCAGAAAATCAGGACGATTGAGCTCAATGGGAAGACGATTAAGCTGCAAATTGTGAGTTTAATCTTTCGATGAGAGGGATTTTGTAATATGTTTCGGATAATTATGTTAATCGTTTTTTTTGTGTTACTGTTGCTGTTCTCTCTTCAGTGGGATACTGCTGGGCAGGAGCGTTTCAGGACCATCACTAGCAGCTACTACAGAGGAGCTCATGGAATCATCGTGAGAAATCTTTATCCGCTTTCTTGTTTTTGAGTAGTTTTGTCCGATATCTATGGCGAGTTTTATCGTATTTCTCTGCTCTGTATACTCTGAAACATGTTATGTTTGTTTGGGGAAAGAAGAATCCTGTAAGAGTATTTTTAAACTTAATGTTCAGACTTACTACCCTTTAGCTGATGAGACTTGATGAATGATATTGCAACAGATTGTGTATGACTGTACTGAGATGGAAAGTTTCAACAATGTGAAGCAGTGGTTGAGTGAGATCGATAGATATGCTAATGAAAGTGTATGCAAGCTTCTAATTGGTAACAAAAATGATATGGTTGAAAGTAAAGTTGTTTCTACCGAAACTGGAAAGGTTAGCTCGCATCCACAATTAATTTACTCTCGCATTTTTTCCCAGTTATGATTGTGCTTCTTTCCTATGTGCATCTAGATGTGTAGCAAACATGCTTTCATAGAACTTTCCCTTTTCTTCGTTTGATTATATCATGGTAGCACAAATATTTAACTGTGTTAAGATATTTCGATCATTCAGAATTTCCGATTGTTGTACCACAACTTAAGGCTATGAATGTATATGATTCCAGCGATTAAGATTTGCTTATTATCAGCAGCTGTTTCCCCTGACACAGTTGTGACTTGTTTATCTTACGATTCAATTTATTCAAAAAAACACTGCAGGCATTAGCAGATGAGCTCGGAATTCCCTTTCTTGAGACCAGTGCTAAGGATTCTATCAACGTTGAACAGGCATTCTTAACTATTGCTGGCGAGATCAAGAAGAGGTATGTTCACTCCCTTTTATCGTTCCTCGTAGTTTCTGCAATATGTTACTCTATTTTCCCGAGTGAAGCTGTTCTAAACTATTCTCCTTGATCACCATTATACATTAAAGCATTCTCTGGTTTTTTCTGCTGCTTGTCATGCAATGAACCATTCATGTCAAGTTCTATAACTGAAATGCGTTTTTGGTGACTTGATGACTAATGGAAAGAAAACCTACAAACTTAATCTCTTGTAGACTCCTCCTTAAGCCTTGTATACTTTACGTTCTGTTATTATATCATGATGATAGATTTTTCATGTGTTTGATCTCATTGTATCTACATTTACTTGATCGGTTTTGTTTTATCGAGTCTGACCATATTATTACCTGCAGAATGGGAAGCCAGCCGAATGCAAACAAGACATCTGGAAGTGGAACTGTCCAAATGAAAGGCCAGCCAATCCAACAGAACAATGGCGGTTGCTGCGGTTAGAACAATGGCCGCTGCTGCGGTTAGTAGTTAAGCAAGTGTTATCAAAACTATGTGAGACTTTATTATCCTTCTTCTTTACTATGTGTTGTGAAAACAATGACTGTCTAAAACAACTGGCAACTTCAATATTTCATGTCACTGACTTACCATGTCCGAATAAGCTACCCTTTGTCGTTAATATAGTAGTAGTACCTCTTGACCTTTGATTATATAATTCGAGTTTGGAACACATGATTTTGATTATATAGTATTAGATTAAGCTATCCTTTTAGGATGATCATGTTCATTACAATAGGATATGATTTTGAAAACTTGTAGCTAAGTCTATATAATGAGAACAAAATTAATGAAAAGCTTAATAAATGTGAATGAAGGTGAAACTTGTTTTTTATTCAGAGATCCGAGCCCAACTCAAATTCTTCCAAAACAATTTCTAGATTACATCAACTCAACTCATACGCACATGTTTTCAGAAGACTCCAAATGCATTAAAATTACACGTTATATATATAATGCATGTAATCACTTTCTACTTTATTGTTCTATTTTTATAAAACACACATAACACACTCACAATCAATTTCTACGTTATTGTTCATGGATCTACACACAATTTCAAAATAAAATTTCATTCACGAAAATTCTTATCTGATTTATATAAAAAAAATATCAAAGTAATCTTTATTGTTTGTATTTAAGTTTTATGAAATCTTTTTCTTTTAAAAGTTCATGCACACTAACCAGAGCAAGATATAAATATGTTCTTCAACCACAAAAAATAATACATATATATATGTTCTTCATTATATATAAAACGAAGGTTTTAAACGAGTTTCTCTACTGATTACATGCATTAAAAACACAAAGATATCTTAATAAGACTTTTAACGAAAAGCCAACGGTAATTATAAATTTATTCTAATTTCAAAAAAAAAAGTTATAAATTTATTCTTTATTGATCTAGTTACAAACTTACGATTCACACTTTTTTGTATTTTTCCATTTGACACAAGAATACAAGATAGATAGTAAAGTAAAACAACAATTTGTTGTACTTTTTCAATTTGACACAAGAATACGAAATATATAGTAAAATAAACCGCGTTAGTTTATAATTTATGATGAAATGAATGACTCTAACACAAAGGAATGTTGTCTATTGCTAAAATCATCATACTCCAACATCCGATTGATTCCAAACCAATTGTAAATAAAAAAATCACACCTTACAACTTTGGTCAAAACTTGGAAAAATATCATAAACCATAAAAACTCCAAAAGCATATAAAAAATCTTCCAAATAAAAAAAAAATGAATGAAGTTTAAACACAATCTAAACTATGCATATTGCATCATGTATAATTTTACAAAGTCACATAAAAACGTCTCTCAAATTGTATTTTACATATAGATAG